GTTATGTAGCAATACAATAAACTTCCTGGAGATTCAAGATCAGTTTTTTTGAGTTATATATCCTCTTTGCCATTTGTGAATTAATTTGAACTGAAGGCATGCTTTAGACATTTCTGCTGTGTTAGAGAAATTATAGCAAATTGAAATGTCACTGCAGGTAAATAAAGAAATGCACAAACTGTATACGTATTTAGCAGACAGCTACATGGGAATATAGAGAGAAATTAAAGGGAGAAACTGAAAATTGCATGCACAGGTATGCAAGGCACTTTAACAAAGTGGTAAAGTGTGGCATTTATTGGAGGACAATGAAAAGAGCTCACTTTTTAAATTCTTAACAGTAACAATTACCAATTAAAAATAACAATTAACAGTTCTGAATTAACAATAAAACTGAGAATCTAACTACAGTATTTCAGCTGTAGCTAACAAATTAGGCAAACAGAAATGCAAATTAATTTTATTCTACTTGGTGAAACTGTAGCATCTAGTAAGAATCTATGAACAGGTGCACTTTTGTGTCACATAACACACATGAGAAACTGGCCTTTAAAACTCTACAAGCATCTTTCTGGATTTTAAAATTATCAGGAGTTAGGCACTTTTTCTCCAAAAAACATTTTTTATGGACTGTCACAATTATGAGACACTATGTGCAAACAGTATAGTTCTTGAACTGTATAACCAGATGAGCTAAATACATACTACACTGATCTTGTAAGTGTAGTAGGAGTATATAGGCACCTCCTGACTTCTTTAACCATCTTTTCTGATTTTTTATGATTATTTAAATGTATACCAGAAATCATTCTCACTTAGGTACAATTATGCTTAGTTTTCTGTAGAGTGGTTCTGATGAACCTGGACTCATTCAGAAGAATTATTTCTTTCTTATTTCACCTGAGTTCATTCCTTACAGATAAACAAATATCAGCTCATCAAACAACTCATTACCTTTGTTCCTTCTCACCATTCACAGGCTTTAAATACCACTGGCATTCATAACAGCTATTTACAAATGTGCTGTACTTATAGCATTAAGTGACATGAGTGCTTTACGGCTCTATTTACAAGATATCAAAGTGGTTTCTTACAGAGTAGTGCTATTTCCCTCCTGCTCTGGGCACATGAAATCAGTGAACCTAATAAAGTAGAAAAGCCTCATTAATGGAAGCAACTGTCCTTTGTGAGTGAGCAGCAGAAAGCAGCAGATCAAAGGTGCCCTGTTTCCTTGAGTAGTGTCTGCACATCTGTTTTCTTTATATCGAATGTGCGATTAAACTTTCTGGATAACAACAACAAAGCTTTTTGCTACTATTATTTTTCTAATACACACTGACTTCAGTTTCAACCTTTATCTAAAAACATTTAAAGGTTTTTTAATATGCAGTTACCAGTCTGATTGATATAAACTGTGTTTAAGTTTAACCAGGATGTTGAGAGATGGAATGCTCCTTATCTGTCTATACTAGATGTAAATAAAAAGATCAGATAGCACCATGCTAGGGTTAACTTTTCTTCAAAATAACACCAAAAGCTGGTGTGTTTCACAACTATGCCCAACTGCAAACAAGACCAGGAGTGGATCTGTTATTACAACAGTAGCTTTTCTCTTACTTTTAAAAAAGAAAACTAAATTATAAAGAAGGTCATAATTTTTGTGCAGTTAAAAAAAAATAAATAAAATCATCATTTTGCGAGATCATCGCTAGCTGGGACCAAATCATTGATTTCTGCTGTCTGGAGTCAAGACATCCAATTTAAATACTGATTTTTTAAAAAAAAAAAAAAAAAAAAAAAAAAAACTTTTAAAAAGTGCTTTTTTTCCTAGTTTTTGTTTGTTTGTTTGTTTGTTTGTTTGTTTTTTCAGATAGGAAAAACATTATGGTACTGAATTAAAACTCTAATGTGCCTATCTAGCATGATTCCTACTCTTGTATGTATATTTTTCTGCATTGTATTTTGCTATATAATTTTTTTTCCCCTTTAAATGTGGTATTTTGGTCTTTACTCAAGACAACTCCTATGTTAATACATTACTTGCATTAAGATGGCTTCTGTGCATGTGCACCCAGATGCAAGGAGAAAGAAGTTTTGAAAAGCTAAGAAATCAGAGTCTCGTGTATCTGCCTAGATAGATACAGCAGTCCCGTGGGTATCAATAGGAAGGAACAAGAGCGGGCAGATGTTTCAAGCACAGGAGGAATCTTTGCCTCAGCACTTACTGCCCATATGCCATTAACACAGACTGACACAAGGTAGTAGGCTGATTAGTAAGCAAGATACCAGAAGATATTTTGTGGGCAAATCTCTTAGTAATGAAAGTGGCTGCACGCCTGTGACTGAGCAGCCCATCAGAACTGCAAGACCACTTCTGTTTGTAATGGGCAGTGATGGGAAATGAGAGAGTAGCTCAGATTGCAATGCATCAAGCATAACTGTGCCTGAGAGGACAATAACAAGAGTCCTTTGAACTCCTTCCTCACCTCCCATCTGGTATACAGAACTGAGGCAGTAAAGTAAATGCAGTGAAAAGTGCTACATATTTTTACATAGCACTGCACATATGTTCCTGATGTTGGTATCACCCAGTGCCCACTGCAGTCCAACTGGTGGATTCATCAGTATGTACAGGATGGCAAAATGCTGCCCATCTCTGAGTCAGCACTGCTCCAGGAACTCACAGACAGGTTTTGCAGTGTATTTATTTCTGAATAATTGCAGCACTCACAAAAAAAAAAAAAAAAAAAAAAGACATTTCTGACAATACAGGAGAAATCTCCATATCTTGAGAAAAATAAATCTCTATGTAAAACACATCAAGAAACCTTTCTACTCAGGAAGGAAAACAGATAATTTTAATTCTAGTGTTTCTATTTGTAACCTAATATATTTCTTCAGCTAAAGAGGACAAGCAGTGACTTTAAATAGGTCTCCTTGTTTCCTCTTGTCCATATCACTCCCTAAAGTGTTCTCCACCCTATCCTTGTTTGAAAGATATCCTTATTCCTTCTTATTTATGAAGGTCAGGTCATCCAATTCAGTTACAAAGTCACAAGACAAGCTAAGGGCTTTTGACCAATAGCAAATGTTACATATTGTATGCCATTAGTACAACCTGGGAGCAGTCTAGAAACAGCATAAACACTTATTAAAATGTTCAAGGGAAATAGATGCATGAAGAATGCTCATTTCTTTATTTTGCTCTTTTTTGTTCATATATATGCATTGTTTCACACATTCAAGGAAGTTACAATCATTCGATTAGTGCTGACTTTGGTTAGCAGAATGATTGTGTATACATCAAGTTGAATTTTCCTTCCAGAAAGAAGACAGAAGTAACAGCCAAAGACATTCCTAAAGGAAAACTGTAACTCTTACAGTATTTATTCTTCACAATACAATTCAAGAATTGAAACTACAAGTATGAAGGCTTGCATTTTGCAAGCAGTGACTCTAACTGCAGCTCATTTTATGTCTGTCTTTTAATGAGTACAGAAGGGGCTGGACTATGTGCATCTGAATACAGAATCTAGAGTAATTCCTTACAAGCACAAAACTTGTCCTACAAATAAATTTGAGCATGCCCTACACGTAAGCGCTGATCACAGTGAAATTAAATTTGTTGGCAGAATCAGGCCAGAAACAGAAGGCATGAGATGAAGTCAGTTGGTCATGTATATGTTGAAACTATGCACTTAACAATTTGTTTCACCCAAGCTGTTTCTTTTCAGATATATAATGAATACTTCATTAAATCCATAATCTACAATCTGTAATCTACAATTTTTTTCAAAAATGATCATTTTTATTTAAACTTATAAAATGGCACTAATGGACATTTTGTCCTTAGACTAAGAAATAGGAAGACATTCTTGTCATGAGGCTTTTGATATCATCATTTTTTATGCAAGTTAATCTCCATGACACATTAGCAGTGTGTGCTGGAGAGCAATGTAATCAGAAATTAGAAACAAAAAGGGTGAAATCAGATTGACCTTTGGCAAGTCACAACTCCTCTATTAGATGTGGTCTGTAATGTATAAATACTATCTTATGTCTCTTGTTATTCCAAATAAAAAGAAAGCCACATGTTCATGATAGAGTATGACTTTTCAAATGCCACCAAGTTGATTTTTCCTAAAACCATACTGCAGAGCCACTTATGCAAAAAGATGTGTGCATGTGCAAGATGTCTGGGGTAGAACTTGAATATTACTCTAAAGAGTTTGCGTTCCAGTGTTTGTATTTATGGCACAGCTTCGTAACTCCTGTTTTGGAGATTTCCTTTCTTCTTATGTTACTGATGTAGTTGCAAAACAAGAATCAAATCTAAGGAGAATCCTAAGCCATGTACTTATGAATTTGGTGATTGCATGTATGTTTTGAGAGTCGAGAAAAAGTGTCAGTTTAGCAGTCCATCACCTGTGGTCCTCTTTCCATTTGATTGATTGCGCTTATCCCTTAAGATAAAGGATAATTCTTACAGATTTTTGCTGAGGACATAAACCAAACACTGAGAATATGCAGTGGTTATGGCAGAGAAGAATTTGATTGTTTCATTTAATAGACTTTCAGACATTATATAACTTCTTACCCACACTGTCACACTAACATCCAGAGCTATTACACCTACACTAAATGGATGTGAATAGCTAGACTTTTAAAAGTTCAGGCAATGAGTAAATTGTGTTAAGCATTTATGACTTGCTAAAGTGTATGTTGGTGGTTATAAACAGAGCGTACTCGTCAGTGCTTTCCGCTAGGCATTTCAATGACTCTTGAGAACATGAAAAGTGTTGGTGACTTAACTGAGCCGTGGGAATTCAGAATTATTGATTGGAGTTTGGAGAGATAAAATATGATTGTACATATGGAATGCATAAAAAATAGAAGGCTTTATTCGTTGTTTCTTGAAACATAATTAATTTTTTTAGTAGATGAAAATTATTGCCAGTACATAGTATAGAGTGGATATGTATAAATGATAAATCTTCTGTTGATTTTTGCCTTTGTTTTTATTTGCAAAATAGTCATGACCAAATAATGATTTTCTGAAACACAATTATTTCTAGAAGGTTTTTAACAGAGATGTCCTCCAGGTTTCTTGATCTCATAACTTGTGAATAAGTAATTTCTTTCCAACAAGAAACAAGTGATTAACTATTGTGCTGGCCTTCCTACGAAAGCATGTGGCTGTTCCAGTGCTCTAGCCCTCACTCACTCTAACCCACACTTCTCCAGGGAATATTATTCCCAGATAGTTTCGTTCAGGATTATTTTATATCTGTCTGTCCAGTATGGTTTAACTACAACCCATTCTCATGAAAGGAAGCTCTGTAAGCCAACTTCTGCTCCTGTACATCTGCCAGCCTTGACAACACCTGACAGGACTGATTTTCAATACTGATTTTTTTTTTCCCTTTCTCTAATGAAAGTTTGTGTGAAACCCTGTTGCATTGAAGGAAGTGGGAATTTTGCCAGGACTTCATCCTATCTGCTTTCTGAGACTCCCCATGAAAATGTGCTATGTCACATGACATTCTTAGCAGAGTGTTGGGTCGGGTATATCCTGCAGAAAGACATCTCTTGTAAACAAGATTTAGCAATCTTGGAGGGAATTTCCTGCTGTTGGTCAGATTGTTTTGAACACCATTGACCTTGCTGCAGATTTCTATTCTAAGAGCAACTATTCATCTGTGTCCTAGGATCAGTTGCTTTGATGACAGTAACTGCTGGGGGGTGGATAAGGAAATCTAGAGACACTCGTTCCAGTTGTGAGGCCTGCTGATAACCAGCCCAGACTGTGCTCTGGCTAGTCTATACCAATTTAAACACCATTTGGAAGGAAATAGCTTCGCTGAGGAAGGAAGAAAATGAATGCGGAAAACAAACCAAAAGAATTCCAAGTTTAGAATTAACCTAGACCACATCATGATACCATCACACTACCAATATCTCACAACAAAACACATCAAGCACCTCTCAGCTTGCTCTAAAAATATATTTCTAAAATGCACGGGCATTTGCAACATTCTCAGACTCCCTTCATTGAGCAGTCCTTATTAAGCAGATGAATCTGCACCATTTGTTTCTACTTTGCAAAGAATGTCACATTCCTCAACAAGAAAAAAAAAAAAAAAATCCATACCTCTGGGACTGTAAATGACTGTTTCATGGACAGTTTTTTCTAAACACAAGGAAGAGATCTAGGCACAAACACCAAAGCATGGGGAACAAAACTGATTTAATTAGTTAGCTTCTTATTTTCTAAGACAAAAACACTTCTGCATTTTAAATCTTTCCTGTATAAAAACATGATATTTTTATAAAAATTGTGCTTTAGTAGATTTAAACAATTTCTGAAAGTAACATTTTCCTGGGTCTTTGTGAATGGCCAGCCTTCACCCTTCCCAATATGTTTGTAATGTAATGTAGTTTTTATGTATCAAAGAATTCATAGCCTTCGAGCCTGCAGCCATGCCAAATCAGATAATGGAAATTCAAGATAAAGCAGTGAAAATAAAAGAAAATTTCTTCTTGATCATACTGCATGAAGAGCATCTTCTTAGAAGGGTTGATTTCTTCAGACAATCTCAACATTTTATGGGAGTTCTTTCCATTTTCTGTCCACTGTACTATATAATAAAGAACAGGCTATGACTACAGAAAGAACAAACGTAGTCTGAAATATTCTGAAATGGTCAGAAAAATTTAAAAAATTACAGATTTTGCATGAGTATCAACCTTTTAACTACAGTAAATATTCAATATCTTTATTTGTTACAGAAACTACAAGTGCCTGACATAATTTTCAATATTTTGGATTCTTATGAAAAGAACAACTCAAAAAAAGGTCTTTTCAAAGTGATTTATCAAATGCTTTTGAAAGGTTTTAAAAGGACAGAATGAATGCTCAAGGTGAACTGACATGAAAACAGCCTATGCCATTGTGCCCTTAGTATTTCAGCTAAGAGTCAAACATACTCCAGTTTTGGTTAGAAAAGTGAGAACCAGGTTTAAATCTATATCATAGATGTCCCAGATAGTAAACAGTCAGGAAAAAGCTAGTCTGAAGAACTCCTTTTCGATGTGGTAGAGATCTTTACCTTGGGTCAGCAGAATATCCAGTGATGAACATGAGTAAGCTTTCCACAGCAGCACACCATCTGCTAAAGGAGAGTGCATAATTACTGTCTAAACAAGTTACTGGAATGTAGGCTTGATACAGAAATCACTGGATAAGGTTTTGGTCTATATTTCATAAAAGGTCTGACTACAGAGGCTAATAATTCCCTTTATAATTCCTGATTCTTGATTTTTTTTGATTTTGTTTTTTTTTTTCAAAGAAAGCTGCATTCTCCTTCTGTAGATAGAACGGGTGCTTCATGGTGGTTTTCTAGAGACTATTGCTTGGAAAATCTGAATGTTTTCCAGAGTTTTTAATATGTTTCTCTGAAAACAAGCTGATTCTAATCATAACATATACTGATCACGTGTTTAGCTGTCATACCATTGTTTTCTGTAGTGTAGGCTGAGGTTTGCTTAATGTGAAATAAATGCCAGCACACTCCTCTGCTGTAACTGTATGAATCATAAAATGGAATCACAGAATCATAGAAACAACAAGGTTGGAAAAGACCTTCAAGATCATCTAGTCCAACCGTCCACATAGCACCACTATCTTCCACTAAACCATGTCCCTCAGTACAACATCTGAATGTTTCTTGAACACCCCAGAGCTGATGACTCCACTACCTCCCTGGACAGCCCATTCCAGTACCTGACCACTCTCTGGGAGAAGTACTTCCTAATATCTAAACTTAATCTCCCCTGGTGCAACTTGAAGCCATTTCCTCTAGTCCTATTGCTAGTTACACGGGAGAAAAGGTCAACCCCACTCACCACAAGGTCTCTTTAGGTAGTTGTAAAGAACAATAATGTCACCACTGATCTTCCTCTTCTCCAGACTAAACAATCCCAGCTCTTTTAGCCACTCCTCATGAGGAGGAGATCCTCTTTCCACCACACTCTTATTTTGACCAGATCCCACCCTACTTACACCATCATAGGACATACAAAATATAATTTTATTTTTCACAATGCTTTATGAGAAGAATTAATGGCCTTACTAAGACCTGTGCTTTAGGGGAATTTCTTTATGTCAGGTTGCTGAACATTTAAGCTGTTTTGAAACATCTTCTGTTTGTATTCTTCATGCGTGGGACTGAAAAAACAGAAGACACTCACTGCAGTTTCTTCTGTGACATTTCTGCCCTGATACAGAGCTCCCTATTAGGCTTACACTGTAATCAGCTATCACCTTCCCTCATGTTTCTGCATTTCATCACTCAACTTCCTTTTGGTCTTGCTGACACTCTCCGGCACACCTTCCTTGCAGTCACTTGAATGTCAGTTAGCAGCTGCATTCTCTCACACACCCAGCCTCACTGATCAGCTTGAGAAGTACTAGCAGACACCACTGTCTGTCCTTTTTTCTATTATTACTTCAAGCCTTTCTGCATTTTTGAAAGACATTTAATAACATAATCAATTGGAAGTTGATCAGAAAACTCATACCTACATACAGTGTTCATACTGAATTGCTCATAAATTAAATAGCCTATTTAAAGAATTCAGGATGCCTTTCCTGTATCATCGCTATGGGGAGAAAAAAGTGAAGAATATTGAAACTTCAAAAAATCTGTACAATGGTACTGAGAGATGTTTCTGATTTTGGAGGTGCCTAGAAATGGCCAATGCACAGCTGCAAATCTGAACATTTACTATATTTGATAATTTTTGTACAAATAGAAGAAATAAGAGGTTATAAGTTTCAGCATAATATTACATCTCACACATCTTTAGGCTGTTCAATCAGTTAACTTACAAAGCTGGTACTCTCAGTGCCCCTTACCCAGTGGAGAGGCAGAGACACTTCTCCAAAGGCTCATCTGTTTCCCCTTTATGAGGTTTGCCCTCTAGAATGTGGAGATGTCTCTCTTCATTTGCATCCAACATCTCTGAGTTACCAAATGCCTGTTCTCAAACCTACCCACTCTTCCTGTTGCAACTATGGCTGTCTTATTTATCTATTTTCCTCAGTGATGTGCAATTTCTGGTCTCAAGAACTTTTTTCTTAATATATATTTTTATCTTTACTATCATGCTACTACTAATTCTCTGTTGAGTTGTACCTCATAATTCCAGGAAGAATTAGAACACTTCACACCAAACATTACTAAAAATTCTATCAGATTGTCAAATGTGTGCTCAAAAACAATCCAGCAAATGCAGCTGTGCATTTTCCCCCGTTTATTACTCCTGCTACTCCTGTTTTGTTTCACGTAACCAGATTTTGACTTTTCCTTTAAAATATTTCCTTTAGTAAGTACCAACTACTTCAGCCCACTGGTCAGAATACCCAGTCTTGCCTAATGTTTCCTCAGACTTCCCTTCCTAACAGCCTGCCTGGGTATTTGTATACTCCTCTCTTCAGCACAGATTAGAAATTGTTATTTCTGCTGAATGAACTTTGATGATAAGGCCAGATCTGGCAGCTGAAAATGGCACACCAGTGCACATATGTTGTTGTGTAGGTAAGTCACTATCCTCCTGACCTGCAGCCAAGACACTTCCCGGTCCCTTCTGTGGGTGAGAGAAGATACTAGTAGAAGCAGCTGGTATGAAATCCGGCTGCTTAATCTTGAAAGATGTTGACTGAAACAAAGAGGCTTATATTTATGTATTTTAAGACAGAGGCTTTCACATTATCAACAGATACTTATTTTGTTAGACCTACAATAAATACTGTAATGATGGTGAGCAATCCTGTAAGATACAGTATTCTATGCTTTATTTGAGTATGGCTCTTTTGAGAAACCTATTAGATTACAAAATTACAGGTTTTTGAGGGAATGGCACAATTTAATGACTACTTTTGTATGAGGACATAAAATGAACTAGAAAAGAATAGATATGCAGATTAATTAAAAATATTAATCAAGCATGTTTAAGCAAAAGGGGAGCACAACGACAGTCTCTTGAATTACATCCTACTATTTTATAATGCCATTGCCATACTGAGATAGCTTTTGTAATAAAAGGAGTGGAGATGTTAGATAAGGAGAGGAGAGAAAGGAGAATCTTACATCTCTATGTTCATCAAGAAATTTTCATGACAGAAAGAGGAAAGATGTGTTTCTAAAACAGCGTAAAATCTAAGTGTGGAGGGGTTAAGTAGATCGCTTTACCAGTGAACAGATATGCAGAAGTTGTTAAAGATCTTAGTTGATAAACATAATCCAGGGCAGTTTTACTGTTGCAAATTCACATGCTTTCTTGGCTAATATTAGCTGGAGGAGCAGGAAAGTGAAGAAATGGCCTATAACTCACCCCAAAGTCGACGTGTTGTGCTTCTTTAGAGTCATTGACTTGGAAGATTAGTAAGAGTGGTAAATCAAGTCTGCATCCTTCCCATCCCTGCCTTTGTGCTGCTGCAGTGTTTGTGCTGCCAAGTGCTGAGCTGGAGCAGGAAAATGAGTTCACTGAAAAATGGTGCAGGTTTTTGGAGACAGAGTTGATTTGGTTTTTTGTTTATTTGTTTGTTAGCAGATTAGTTTTCAGCCCTGGTGATTCCTGATCCAAGTCATTGTGTGGCCTTGTGAACTTCTGTGGAAGAACAAAGGCAGGAATGGGAGTACATAGGTGGGGATGGAAAGCAGAGGAAGGAGGCAACATTTTGGTCCCAGATCTCATTTATATCAGCTTTAAATGGCCAAGAAACTACATCCGTCTCTACACAGGTAGGAAAAAAATGCTCAGGACATGAGCACCACTGAGATGTTAAAGCATCTGGTCAGAAGTACAAAGGAAATATCTCCTCCCTTCCCTGGCTTACTGCTGCCAGTGGGTCAGGATCAGTATTTGTTATAATGAGGGAGCTCCATGTCATTTTCTGTTCTCCATGCCATTTTCTTCATTCTAATTGTTGTCTGTGTAAATACATTGCTTAGCACCTCTGTCATGCAAAGTAAAGTTTACACTGCAAGCTGATCCACAATTACTCTGCCTCACAGTTAAAATATTTGAAGTATATGTTGGTAGTTCTATTGCAAAGCTCTTCACAATGGATTTTGTAGTGTAATATAAGACCTTCTGTCAGGCAGCAATAAGCCCGGTCAGATGAACCTAGGATTTTTTTTTATATGGTCTATGCTTAAAAATGTTCTTTCTTAAATAAGCAAAACAAATAACTCCTTTCCCTTTGAGACTCCTCATAAGCCATTTTAAAAATAATTTGCCAGGCAAAAAGGATGATGTAATTAGATACAAAACAAAGTACTAATAATTACAATCCCCACCTCCCAAAAGTAGCCATTAATCAGTTGTCTAGCACACAAGCATTCTGTGCTTATATTAGAGAAACTATTGCCAAAGATGTTCTTCCAAGGCACACCAAGCAGCAGAGGGAACTTTTGATTCAGTAAACACACACGAACAAATGCACTTGATATGCCAAGACAGGAGGCAGGAGTATTTGGGACATGGTGGCAGTGCCATGAAACAGTAGCATAGATTGTATTGCTGGCACTGCTGGCATACCACTGGCCAGCACTTCAAAAGTGTCCAAATGACCAAAGAAATGGATGCAAACAGACAACAGTTTGAAATGTCCATAGAGGACTTTGAAGTTATTATTAACAATGCATCCCATAGCCTGAGGCATACAAAAAGTATGTCTGCACACTAAACTGCTGAACGGAACAGGATTTGTTTATCAGCCTCTCCATCAGGCCACAGAGACTGCCTCTGAAATGATTTATTCTTCTCTGCTTCTGCAGCTCAGCGTGCCACAGGCATTGAGGGACAGACTCAGCTAGCAGAGGGTCAGTTCACCAACACAATAGCAAGTCCTGTCTGAGCTGTCTTCCACACTAGTGAGAAAAGAACCCAGAAACAAACTCCTGAGTTGGTGTTCCCCTCCTTGCAGCACTGGTTTGACGTTTGGTGGCCGAATACTGCTTCCCTATAAGCACTGCCTTTCTGGCTGTAGTAGAGAAGCCAGAAGAGATCATCTGCACCGATCATCTGAGCAGCGCAGGGTTTCCACTAATTACTGTAACACCAGTGCAAACCATTTCCCTTCTGCAGGCTTCTGGTTTCCTGACTGACTTTCACAGTTTTACTGCTTGCATGCAAGCCCAAATCATGCCTCCATCATTTGTCCGTATGGTCTGTCTGTCTCTTCCTGGTGGTGGGACAAAAGGCTTTCTGGGGCATGAATGGCTGCTTTGTTTCCCTGCTCTGGAGAGGTCTGACCAGAATTCTGTCCAGGTTTGTAGCCCTCAAAACCATAGTTGACTGTTTTGAAGTTAGGAAAGCATTTTGTCCCACATCTTCTGTTCTCTGTGAAAAAATGACTTCAGCTTTGTGGCTAGGAAGAGTCAAGCATGAAATAAGAAAATGACCATAAAGATGATGATTGAGGATCTCATTCAAAGGGAACATATCCCACTTTAAAGCTCAGTGAATAAAGCAATGAATATCAAAAACAGGATTTATTCCAGAAACTGCAGTATAAAATACTAGTTAATGGCAATCTCTGCTTTCATATGCATCTTGAATATGTATTGGCCTGTTGCACTACGGAAAGACATTCTATTAATTATCTTGGATATTTTTGGCTAAAAGATACAACCAAGCCACAGAGTTGCACTGCAGACTTCTGGAAAATGAGAGTTAGCTTCATTTAGCTTGCAGAGTTTGTCTTTTTATTCTTAAAGGCTTATTTAGTTAGATAAAAACTAAACCATGATTTTTGTTAGCAAAGTCTAACTCCACTTATTTCTCATCTATTTGTACACGTTTCCAAGAGAAGTGAATAGGAAATGTTTCAGCTTTTATTTTTGATTCCAATAAGAAATGTTTATTGATTACATAAACAATTTGCCTGTTTTCATCTGTGCTGCTACACTGAGTTCTGAAATACGTGAAAAGATTAGCCAAAATAAAATGTCAGCATTTGGTTTCATTCACTGGATACTAGAAAACATTTAGGATTTAAATTGATTTCACATGGGAATGTCAGCTGTGTGCTCTGGCTAGGAATGAAGCTCTGACTCAGAGGGGTAGAAAAGATATGATAATCAAAATTTCTCAAATTCGTTTCTTGTAAGTATGGGAGTGACACTGTGGTGGAAATCGTCCTGTATCAATGCAGTATTTTGTTTTACCCCCAGATAACTGCTAAAAAGTAGCATATGCTATTGTGAAATCTTTCTCCCCACACTGTTCTTCTCATGCCTGACCTAAAATCATCCCACAACGATTTTTTCAGAGTTTCCCACAACCTTGAAGACTTTGAAGACTATAATTTTTAACCATCAAAGCAAATCAGCAAGGGAATGGATTTTGAATGAAGCAAAGTAAGAGTCTGGGGAGAAATATATACTTTACACTAAAACAGAAAATCTTTATTCACTTTGAATTAGGAAATATTTTTTCTTCTGGTGTAGACTTTTTTAACAAAGCTAGTAAGCTTTCTTTTTAGTCATCAGTCCTAAGGAGAAAGCAGAACAGGAGACAGCAGTGATGTTACTACAGAGTAGCCAAGCAGTTATGGTATTAATCCAAGATAATTCAGACAAGCATACTGTTTCTTGCACTGTACCACATATATAAAGCAGCTCAGGACACATTGCTCACAACTCTCTGTCACCTCTGTTCCAGTTGCACTTCACTGGACTCACAACCTATTGGATAGCACACAGATGGGTGATGGCACTTCACAGCTCACAAGCTTTTACATGTTTAATGCAAGCTTAGTATTCGTATGGGAAATCTCTAGTGGGAAAACTCAAGCTCAATCAGTGTTAATCCTGAAAGGCACAGGTTCAAACCCCTTCAGGTGGCAGAGAGGAAGGTATGAATAAGCAAGCTGATACACGGTCAGGCCACATCCATTGTAAGTGCAGATGGTTGCAGATGAGTATAGCTGAGTTGCAGTTTCTTAATGCACCTCAGCAAAATATGGATTAAATATCTCTCCTGAAATGTGGAGGACTAAAACTCAGCTCCTTTTTTTTTTTTTTTTTTTTCAACTCAGTAACTTCAGGGGGTCTGTGACTTTTGTTTGCAGGGAGTCTGCATAGCAGCTGTAACTTCTGTGCTGTAACTTCACTATTTTATGTTAAGGCTGGTTATTTTTCTTTCAAAATGGATATTGGGCAAGTAGCAATCTCTAGGTTTGTTCTGTGTCTCATGAACAGACAAATCTAAAATAAAGCTCCACCTAGAGCTTGGTCATTTACTTACTGGCTTATTCCCCAGTTCCCAATCTGTTGCTCCCACACTTAGCTCCTTATAAAGCCTCTGTTCCTTTGAGTGGCATTACTTTCATTGTTGGCTTAAGTGTGGCTCTAACTTCACTAAATGACTAACTGGCACAGGGATTCTTCACATGAATGTGCTGTGTGGATCCCCTCAAAGGGTATCCAAGTCAGGGCAAACCCTCAAGGGCCAAGTCACAAAAAGATGTTGTTGTCCTTCCTTCCCCACCCTTTTCCTTTTTTTTTTTTGCCAGTTCTAAGCATCCATAAAATATCTGCTACACACTTCTGTGATGCAGAGGGAATAATTATCAGCCCTGGGCCAAGTCACGTACAGAAGCAATAGAGGAGTATTTTCACTGAGCAGGAATGTTATTTATCTCTATGCTACTTACGTTTAACTGTGTTTAAAAAAAAAAAAAAAAAAAAAAACTCTTCACCAAAACAAACCTCCAAACACAGATGTTCACTAAATATCCAAACATGAACAAAAAATATTCAGAGAAATTTTGAGGGAAAATACTAAGAATCTAAATCTAAATTCAGTCACAACTCTCTCTTAATTAATTGAGGTTAAGTAATGAGTAAAGCTTTCAGAATTTAACTATTTACATAACTGCATTTTTCTAAAAATCAAACTTTATAAATTCTTGTACTTCTCTATAGAATTATACCAGAAAAGACACAAAATATAAACCATCTCCTAAAAGCAGTGATATTAAAGCCAAGATCTTTTCACAAACTTGAAGTTCGCAGCCACAAGGCATAAATGTGCCAGATTGCAGTATGTGAGTCACTTGCTTTGTCAGATCATCCAGTCTATTAGTGGACTTGTATCTTTTATCCTGAGGAGGGAGGAGATCAAGTATTGTGTCTGCTTTCAGCTTTTTGTGTTTTATGGGCAAATGTGTTATAATGAAAAACTGAAATACAGAATGAATTAGATTTCAATCATGGCTGCGAATTAATATCTGTACTGTCAGATTCCATTCTAAGAGTTTGGCATGCACATTGCAACATCTACCTACTGCCAGAACAGGCACTAATTGGCTGAAAAGGCATGAATCAGTAAACTGAATTACTGCCAAACTCATCAAAAAGATGGTATTTGCACGGCATTTTGAACAAACATGCATAGCTATTGTCTCTGCTTTTCCTCTCCTATCAACAAATACAGAAATTCAGATACCAAAGCTC